CTATTTCCATCAGCAGATCTTCCATGGTTTAATGGCGCGCCGGGCGCATAGTCTCCTTCGTTAGAAATCTCCCGGGGGTCTGGGCGGGAAAATTCTGAGGTGTACGGATGGAATCGGTTACGTGGATTTACTTGTCTACTTGGCGAGAGTCGAGCTATTATAATAGTAATCTGTGATTAGCATTCTGCGCAGCGCTGACTGTGCGTGAAATCCGCATGCCGCACGAAGAGACTTACTGCAATCTACTTTGCCTCCTGTGAGACATGTTGGCAAGTATGAGTGGGAACCAGAGTTATCGTTGATGGCTGGAAATTCCGCGGTATGATTGACTCTCTGGCTTGGTGATGCTGATCCAATCTTGTTGCCAGTACGGCTTGAGTCTGAATTTCTATAATCTGGGGGTAACGATTCCGGAGAATAGGGGACCCTTTGGAAATTTCCTGCATTAAAATCCTTCGCTCGTTCCTGAACGCTAGTGGGATAGCTATTCTGAATACTGTTTTGGCGGTGGTGGCCTCCGTATCTATACCCTAACTCCTCCCCAGCTGTTGCTGGCACGATCTCTGCATCCCGTGCACCCGAAAATTGTGGAGAAGGGAGGTATGGATAGCGTCCAGTCTTGTCATGTGCGCCGCCATCTAGGGGACCAGTGGAGTCCATTGGAAATGACTCTGGTTGGGTTTAAAGAGTCAGGAAAGGACAGGGCGGGTGGTCTGGCGCAAGAGCTATGGAGCGGGAAATATGGAGACAAGGAGGGGTCTGGTCTAACGTCTGGTTTTATCGTTGTGTGAATTCCATGGGCGTGGGGTTGTGGGATGGGGTGGAGGTCGTGAGGGAGTGGTCACTTTAAAAGTAAAGGTCTGGGAGTGTCGGCCTGGAACTTGCTTTAATACACATACACTGCGGTCACTTATGATAGGTGTATTTATTTGGAAGGGGCTTACTTATGGGGCTCACCGCAGGAGCTACCGAGTGTCAGTGAGTTCGTGCCGTATGTACGGGGGAGAATAGAGGTTGATAGACTTGGTGGCAGCGTAAAAAGCACGGACGGATAGATTTGGCGAACGCTGTTTCCAGTGTTGTGGAGTGTGGGTGTATATAGCGCTTCGCAATCAAGGGATCAAGGAGGGTCATTGCTTGTTGTGGTGGGACAAATCCTATAGTGATAGAGACTCGAGAAGGGGCAGGTTTCCACAAGTGGATGCAGAAAGGAGTGAGAGGGTGAGAAGAGTGGCCAGTCGGGAGGGGGGACAAACCGCTCCGGCGGCTCAATGAGGCGTATTATGGGCCTCCAGGAATCGAACCTCCCGCGAAACTTCCCAGGAACTCCTTCTGATGGAAGATAGTGCTTAAGAATCTCTCGCTTAATGTCTCCCGGAATGCTGTAAATAGCACATCGGGAATATTGACTGATATCAAACAAGAAGCAGCCAGAACTGGTTTCTTTTTTTTTTAATTTTAATTTTTTGAGATCAATATTAGAGAGGTGATAGAATTACAGAGCGGCACAAGAAACTGAGAACCATGCAAGACAAAATTTCCTACACCAATGCGTTTAGAGGACGGGGGAATAAAAGCTAGGAGAGGTTTTTGCGTATTTGAATTGTCTCAATGGTGAACTTTACAGAAACCTTTGGAGACCACATGGGATGATAGGGGCGGTGGAACAAAGCTGTATATATGTAGTTTCCTACATGCCGGCAGTGGGGCTCAAAGGGGGATACCACATAGAGCGGGTGCTCGAATAGATAAACTGGAATACAGATGAGGGATTGTGTGCTCTGCAGGTTCAGCCGCATGGTCTATTGAGCACATCTTTTGAATCATTCGAGTAGCTGGGGGAAGCATTGGCCAATGAAAGGGAAGGTTAATGGGCAGGGCCAAGGGAGGGTGTAAGAGGACTGCAGACTTCAGTTGCTTCCCGCTCGATGACAGCCACACTGGAAGATTTCTCAGAAATGCTCCCGCGACCACCTTCCTTCTATGTAATTTAGTAAGGAAAGGAGTGTGCTCCGTGACAACCCTCACAAAAAAAAAGTCAGGCTATTTTTGCAATTTTCTGACACTCTTGGCCCGACTTGTGGCGATAGTGGATCCGCTTCTGGTATGACCCCCGGAATGGTGATTCTAGGGAAGGCGCGAACTGATGTCAAGGCTGCATTCCTGCATTAGCGAGTGTATGGATGTGCTCGAATGGTATTCTGGATGATGCACGCATGTGCACGAGTATACGGTAATACATGGACCATCTCGTGTAGGTCCCAAGATCAAGGAACCGTTTACGTCCTCTACCGCTGAACCGTTCGGTCTCATAGGGAAGCGGGATCGAGTAGGGAGAGTGGCTCAATCCCCGAATCCCCGGCGGTTGGAGGGTTATCGGTAAATTACGAGGTGACTCCTGTGTTAGACTCTCAGAAGAGGATCCCGTAATGGATTATGTGCTTCAATTTCCGTTGGGGGCATATGTAAAGAGTAGAGAACTATCTTTATGATACAGCAAATTCTCAAATAATTGAACAGTGTTGTACTGTATGTCGTTCGAGTTGCCTGCTCTGGTAAGGTCAGGCGTTTTTTATTATGTCTCGGAGAGGCTGAACAGCGCACTTTTTTCTGTAACCCCCCATTTCCAGATGCGGAAACTTTGGACCATCTAGGACAAGGTTCCATTATTTGTGGTTAAACGCTACGAGCACGTCGACTAGAGGCTATGGACCGCGACTTAGTAGAAGTATCTGTCATCCCATATTAACCACATCCTCCGGTTGGGTGGGCCAGGACATGTTTTAGAGGTCACAACAATGAGGCCACATAATACTGAGGCTTACTCACTTACTGAGGCAGGGAGAAGAAAATTCCGCCTGAGAAGCAGTCAGCGCTTCGGGTTAGTCCGAAATTGGTAGTGATGATTCAGCTGTAACAATGTTTTATGGTTTTGTACGGCACAATCTATGATACAAGTGCTGGTAGCATACAACATCCAGAATAGGACTAGTAGTCTAGTTGAATCTGCGAAGTCTTCGTACCCGTATGTGTTTCAAACACAGGAGAGATTGTAAATTAGATGAAATGTTGAAAATTTAATTTTAGAAATAGACTTATGCCTTGTTGGGATGTATATGATATTTCTCATGATTAGAAAAGCTGTAAGTAAAATATATGCAGAATAAAAATATGAGTGTTTGGTATAACTATAAAATCTATCTCTATATAGTACTAGAATGTTAATTTTTTTGTGCATCTCCCCAGCCCCCGACCGGCTCACAGATTGCTCTCCTAACCCTGCATAAGACTGAGTCAGCCATATGTTATTATAGGATAGAAGAAACAAAAATACTATTTATACAGGTTGAAGATATATATTCAAGTAAGGCAATCAAAGACCAATTTCATATAAGATTTGTGTAAACTGAGAGCCTATTCTCAAGTCACATCAAGTTTAAAAAAGAAAAGAAGAGACATAAGAGTAGCAAGTAAATAACCTGAATAATCAAGCTCATATCAATAGAATTCAAATGAGGTATGAGAGTAGATAAATATTTCAATGCCTTGATGATAATACTTTTTCTAAATAATACTTGAAATGTAAAATAAAATATTCAATAGTAACTTGTGGTGCAATCATTTTGTAACGGGAAGCCGATAGTGGTCCTTAGAATCCAAGGTACACACTAGCACTTGGCAGGCTAGCTCAACAGGGAAGGAGACAGGAAGCTGGAGAGAGGGAATAGAGGTAGGATGCGGAGTCAGAAGATGGAGGAGGAGGATGAAGCCAGAGGACAAGCCGGAGGGCGGAACGGGAGGACCGAACGGGAGGACCGAATAGGAGGACCAAATAGGAGGACTGAATAGGAGTACCAAACAGGAGGACCAAACAGGAGGACCAAACAGGAGGACAGAATAGAACTAGAAGACCCAAGGGCTGGCTATACAGCCAACAGGATCAAGGACAGGGCTGAGGACAAGGCAAGGACTAGGCAAGAGATATACTCCACAATGGGTTTGAGAATAATATAAGAGAGGCTTCTGGTATATCGACTGAAGTTCGGTGAGCTCCAACGGCCTTACTGGACATAGCCAGATAAGAGGAAACAGGTTGCGTAGAGAGAAAGAAAAGAACCGAAGGAAAGACAAGAAGACAAGGAAAAGAAAAGAAAGAAAACGAGGAAATCAAACAACCCCCTACCCCAAACTAGCTAACAAACTACTTCCCCCAACCTATGCCTATAACAAGCATACTCTAAATAGTTATTAGAGTAAAGAGAAAACCACATAATCTCAACACCTCTTTCTGTAACAAGCAAACAAAAAAAGGAAGGTTAACAGAACAGGTATATAGACAAATAATACTGCCGTGACACATTTGATCAGTACCATATATTATATAAACCTCAATACTCCAGTATTCTGATCTAATACTAGCCAGTATACATATTAAAGTTTGCCAACACAGTACATTTACTTTGTACTCTTCTTTATTTTAATTAAACAATATATTATAGCTATTTGTTTGATTGCCAGGTAGGTCATCTTTACTACAAATCAGGTTGAAATATATACCATATTGCAAAATATATAACAATATTAATATACAAATTAGATGAAAACCTTAGTATAAGAGTTACCCAACTGTACTAGATGTAAGAGATTTAAGGAAAATAAGGATTTTAATACCAATAGACATGGCATGTTATATAGAGGTTGTCGGGAATGTTTGGTAAGCTTCTGTATTGAAAAAAACCTTAAGTGAAATAAAATAACTAGCAGTATAACTAAAGAGTAAGAAGACTTGAGCAAGAATCCGGACAGCTCAAAGAGGAGTTCCAAATGTACCTACTCTGGAAACTCAGAATTCAGGAATTGTCAGTCTGAGGCAACAGCCTCACTCCTCTGAATCTTTAGCCTTTTCTAGTCAAGAAAGTGGTTGGAAAATTATAGATTTTGGCTCAATGTCAACCTCCTGTTCCCATTGTCAAGCTCTATATTAGATAAAAGAATGAGCTACTGGAACTTCCAAAGCAACACCGTTATTTGAAAGGTGTTGTAAAAAAGGCACTGTAGTACTTGAAGAGTACCAAATTAAATCAGATCTACTTGGTACTCTAATGACTGAGATGAATTCAGAGTCAAAGCACTTTAGACAAAATATCACGGAGTATAACTGTAGTCTTTTGTTTACTGCAGTTCAGTATACTCCTGATGAGAGACTTGCTAGATTGTCACCTGGAATTAAATACTTTTAAATTTATGGAGAGCTTTATCATATACAAGACCCACTTACATCAGCAGAAGGAACAGTTCTACAGTTTGCTCAACTGTAGTTCTATGACTCAGCTTTAGTAATAAATTCTTTAGCAAATTCTCATCCCAATCTCAAAGTATCAATAATACAACAGTTGACAGCACTATTGTATGAGGTAAATCCATATATTACAATTTATAAAACTGCAAAGGAGTAGTTGGATGAGGGAAATCAAGATGATCAAGTACTCAGAACACTCTCATATCCTCAACTACAACTGATTGTTGAGGCAGGTAGAGATACCAAACAATACAATCTGCCTACAAGCAATGAGGTTGCTATGATCATACTAGAGGAGTCAGAAAAAGCCAGTATAAGGGATTTGGTTCTTGCACATCATACAGCAGATGCTGGTAGAAACTAATATTCAATAATTAACACTACACATACTTTCTATATACTATTACACTATGTACTTCACTTCCTATATGCTAATAATAGATGGGAGGAGGGATTAGAACTTTGTAATCATGATAGAAGACACCAATGAAAAAGACTCGGCCAATGAACTTACTATCAATATCAGATACATCCACACTCTCAGCAGCCAGATTCAATATTTTATACAAAGTCATTATTTCAGCAATATTTGCTTGATATATAGGCAATTTGTGATCAAAATAAGTTGAACTGGCTATGAAACCATCAAGCTAATATTCAAGCTGATTTGTATAATAGGATTGCTGATATACTTTGTAGATAAGATGCAAGTGTAGCAGCAATAGGACAAGCATTAATACTTCTATCAAGTTATACTAGAAGTTACTCCTTTATGCAACAATGCTTTCAAGACAGTATGGCCATTGTACAATATTTTGATAGACCAAGTCTTTTTATTACATTTACTACAAATCCACAGTGGGAGGAAATTACAAAGGAGCTACTACCAGGCCAGGTACCTGTTAATAGGCCAGACCTCATAGCATATGTCATTTATTTGAAGCAGCAGGAGTTGTTAAAAGAGATTAAGACTAAGAATATCTTTAGAAGATTTCTTGGCTGTGTTTGGACAATTGAATGGCAAAAGCGAGGCCTTCCCCATATGCACCTCTTACTATTCTTACATCAAGATGACTATTTTCTCAGTTCAGAAAGACTCAATATGCTTGTTTCTGCTGAACTCCCAGATAGAATGACACAAAAATGATCACAATTGGTAGAGGTTGTAAAGACAGCTATGATTCATGGTCTCTGTGGTTCAGACTTTCCTCATGCACCCTGTATGTCCTCAGCTGGTGCAGATAGTTTCAGGCAGTGTAGAAAAGATTTTCCAAAAAGATTTGAGCCAGAGACAAGAATGGAGGAAAATGGATATTCTCACTACCCCCAGCGAAATAATGGAGCAGGTTTGACAAACCAATACATTCTACTAGAAATGGTCCAATAGCAACATATAGGATTGATAATTACTGGATTATTCTATATAATCTATATGTAACCAGAGCTGGTGCTTGGTTACTTAGTTTGTTTTATGTTTTGTTTTAACTATCGGTTGATACTTGGTTAGTTTTGTGGCTTGATTGAGTAAGAACAGGAGTGAGAATTCATGATGGTACTCAAATACATGTACTTAAAAAGACCGCCATTTTCCACTCTGTAAATGGCAGACTTTGACAGATAGTATTTTAATACACTCGGTTGAACAGTTATCTTTATTTTTCTATTACGTCACCGAAGCCTCCCTTAGCGAGCCTAAGGACTGTTATTCTCTGATAGATTTTCAGTTTGCTCCTACTGTACCCGACGACGTGACTTGCGTCATACCGTAAACATGTTACACCATATCTTACATGGAAATATAAGACCTACATTAAGATTAAGATTTTGTCGTTCTATTGAGACTATAAAAGATATTCACAAATATGTATATAGGGGAGGAGATAGGATGATACTATAGACATTGACCCTCTCTGTTATTTTTCTTGCAATTGAAATATCAACACTACCAGAAATCATCGTGAACCCCACCCTCCTTTTGCCCTCTCTCTTTGGGGGGCCCCCTTCCCTGCCCCCCCTTTGGGGTACTTGGGCCATCCCCCTTGCCCTCTAGGCCCACATAGTTTTTACCTTCCTGTCTCTTAGTCTACCTTTGTATATGGCTTAGGTTTTCTACCATCGCACGTATTGGCTGGGAAGTGAGACCCTCTGCCTCAGTCAGCCTAGTCGTAGTCGTCAGTGTTATTGATCATGTAGCTCCCAACCCTTTCACTGTACCTGGTAGTGGGATTCCTTCCACTAAGCAATGCTATTTCTCATTGAACAAGGGACTACATGAGAGACACAGTAAGACATCAGTAGTGTTTGGGGGTTTGGACATGGCCTTTGTGATCCTGGGGATGCAGGTTCTCAGCCATTATCGTCGCAGGGATTTTTGCAACCCAGTTTGGTCTGTTTGCTTCTGCCTCCTCCTTTTATAAGTCGGCTTGCACCCTACTGCTACGTGGGTGGTATCCTACTTACTGGCTTGCACTCTACTACTATCCTATATAAGCTGCCACCTTACTAATTTCCTAGCTGGTACCTTACTACTATCAATACCAGCCAATCAGACCCGCCTTACAATCCTGAAGTTGGGCACCTTGTTGCCACTGTTCCTGCTCAGGCTATTTTTTGTGAAATTCCATGCACCTTGGCCCCTACTGCCTGGTTTTCTCCCCTACAAGTGTCAACTCTGACCTCCTGGACTGCTCCAACCTTGAGGACTGCTCCCACTGCCCCTGCTGCTGGGTTTGGATTGCCCCTCCCATCCTACTATATGGTCATTAGATTAGTGGAGTTCAGCAGTGTTGCCTACAGGTATCTCTTGGGATATAATTCCTGGGCTGGGCGTGGTTAGGGATGTGGTCTTTAGGTTTTAGTTGTTGTTTGTTTGCTTTGGTTTTTTGAGTTGGTTGGAGGATTTGCATAAGTATGGGATTTTAGTTTTTTGTATGGTTCTTCTCCCATGCGATATTTTTTATACTATAGCCTAGCTGCTATATATGAGTTATTGTATGGTTCCAAAAGACTAAACCTTACACTAAGTTTCTCACAAAAAATATGACAATTTTGGTGGTGACTTTAAGTGTAACGCTTGCTAAAACATGTTACCCTACTCTTTCTACACCCTATAGCCCATCATTTTGTTATGAGTTAAACTTTATTGAGTATTTTCAGGGCAGGGCTAATGTTTATGCAAGGGGGAATTGTAAATATATATTTCCTGTTCTTGTTCGAATTGTTCCTGAGACATTGGAATAAGTATCAAATAGATTGATATGGAAGTATTACCAGTGTGTATTCTGTATGATAGATGCATATAGGCAGAATATTGTTTATAGATCAGATGATTTTAAAAAGCATGTATTTATTAGATATGCTTTACACAGACAGATAGCAGAGTCTGAGCCTGAGCTTCATGTTTCTTAATCTGTTTATTAGCACAAGAAAGTCTATATCTCTATTAATAAATATTATCATATATGTACATATCATTGGGTAAAAGATAAACTTTTAAGATGCAATATGTATTATCACATGAACTTTGGCTTCATTTGAGGTCACATGTGGGGCAGGGTAACAATTTTGGTGGGCATTACACTTGCCCTCACCACCAAAATTGTCACATTTTTTGTGAGAAACTTAGTATGATGTTTAGCCTTCCGGAACCATACGATAAACAATAAAATTATTCCTTGAAAAAAAAAAGAAAAGATAATACTACAGATTGAGAACCAGAATAATGAGATTAAGCAATATCTTTAATGACGATATATAGAACCAACAGAAGCAGTTGGGCATTTAATGGAATATGGAATTCATGAGGAATATCTACCAGTAAAGCATCTTTCAATTCATCTTCCTGGAGAACACCTAGTATATTTTCCTGAAGATTCTACTTTAGAGGAGTTACAAGATCAGATACTGGAATCAAAATCTATACTAATGGCCTCTTGTGACTACAACATTTATCATATTGATGGTAGACAATATTTTTATCAGGAATTTAATACCTATTGCATACTTGAGGAGAAAAAAAAAAATGTAGACAAAGTGCAAACAATGAACTTCAATAGGACATATCTATCACTGCAGTTCCTTACAGGGTAAGAAGTTTTATCTCCATTTTCTCCTTCCAGTAATCCAAGGTCCAAAGTTCTTTGAAAGTCTTAGAACTATGGCTGGGCCTTACTATACCAGATTTAAGGAAGCCTGTCAAGCTATGGGCCTTTTAGAAGATAATAGAGAATTGATATCTGTAACGATCCTACGTTATGGAACTATGGCTTCCTAAGTCTACACCCATATGTAAGACCAAGAGGTAATATGGTGAACTAGGTGGGCATGCGGGCGCATGTCCAAAGGATATCTGATGGTTTGGATATTCTAAAGAACAGAAGGTACTTAAGGAATACGTGTACATAAGTAGTGGAAGTAACATGACTATGTCTACTCCGGCCTAAGATTAGGACAGAAGGCCGGGTGAGTTTACCCTGCCTAGGAGAGTCATGTTACCCTACCATGGAGACCAGTTTTGTGTCACTATGGGCATACTTACCCTACCTTAGGGACACTGTTACCCGACCTTCTATCAGAAATGTTCTCGGAGGAATTCCTAGAAATGTTGGGATTGTTTATTACGCAAGGACGATCAATGGGCACTTGCTTGCACATGGATCGGAAGACTACGGGAGGAGCTATAGTGCTCCGAACAAGCTGTAACTTGGTAGAATTATTCCTAACAGTTACCTGTGGCCCCAGGGTTCGCCCGAGGCATCATGGGGCAAATTGGGTAGAGTTGCCGTCTTACTAGTTAAATGGGGTTTATGAAGACATGTCCATAACACTGTATAGATCGCGGCCGTCGGTCCGACAGGAGGCTGTTCACAGGATATACAAAGGGGCCAAGGCGAGAGGTTCAGGTACCTTCTCCAAAAAGAACAGAGTAAAATGGACCAAAACTGACGGAGTTAGCATCAGCTATCCAGAAGGGTCCCCGGAGTAGTCTCAGGTAGTACTGGAGACATCTGGGAAGGTTTTACATCAATCAAGCCTACACGTGCCCCTTTGCCGTAGGCTCTTTGTAGGTTGTTTGAGGACTCTAATAGCATGATACTTATCACGGTAAGTAGTGTGTTGGGGGTAAGGGACCATGGGTAGTGCCCACGGGTCCTGCTGCCGCTGCAGCTCTCTGCAGGAGCGTCGTAGACCTTCTAAGTTCGCACTCAAGATAGATAGAACTTAACCGGAAGACAGTTAATGTCTATGGGTGCTTGCATAGGTCATAGCACATGGGAAGACAGTCATTTAGTAGGCTTTCCTAGGCGTCTCGACAGTTAGCCACTGATGAGA